GTACTACTATATTAGCATTATTCCAAATATGACATATTAATGGGAATCACATAATATTTCTAACGATAATGTCATTTAGAAATAAAGTTTTATTTTCAACATTACCATTCTCACATGTGCACATAAGTATGAAAATAAAATATTAAACAAAAACTTAAATATTAATGAGTTCAAAGTGTCAAATATTGAGACTTTATTAATAACATAATGTTTAACATTAATTTGCAGACATAATGCCCATACTTTTAACATGAACAATAAATATTTTGGACGGTAACTCTTTCGTCAAAGTGTCTGCAATCATAAGGTTAGTGCTAATATGTTCAATTGACACTCTAAGTTTCTAAACCTTTTTTTTAATGACATAGTATTTCAACTCCATATGTTTAGCACCTTCGTAATACTTGTCATTTTAAAAAAACAAGACTTCTACGAAATTATCACAATAAATTTTCAGCGGCTTGACAACACTGTCGACTACAAATTCAACTTCCATAGTGGATGCAGGAATGACAGTCAGCTTCACACTCTTCCATGAGATAGCTCATCCAACTAATAAATATACATAACCGAAAGTAGACTTTCTCGTGTCTATGCATCCGACAAAGTCCGAATCTGAATATTCAATCACCTCAAGATGATTCGATATCCTATAAATAAGCATGCGATAATTTGTACCTTAAAAATATCTCAAAATTTTCCTTGCAGTTTTCCAATGTTATATACCATGAGTACTTTGGTATTTTCCTGACATTAACTACCATCTAGTCACATACAAGTCTAAGCATACAATAAACTCCCAACTATAGATGCGTAAGAAATTTCTTCTCTTTTCTTTCGTACTGAATCTCTCTAATTTTTTTTAATATATGCTTTACGAGACAAGCTTAAAAAACCTTGCCATTTATCAAGAAATATTTATATTCCAATCATATAACTTGTCTCACCCATATCTCTCATTTCAACATTTCTAGAGAGAAACGTCTTAGTCATATTTAAAAGACCAAGATTATTAGTTGCAAGTAAGATGTCATCAACATACAGAACCAAGAAGATAAACTTACTATTGGATTTAGAGAGAGCTAAGATTTTTAGGAAGAATTTGCAAGAAAATGAATAGGTACTTCATTGATTGAAAGCAAGAATAGAAGCTTGGAGTTATATAAAAAAAGGGAAATAACTAACTTGTTGTTAGCCAAACAGAAAACTAACTAACTACTAAAATGAGTAACTAGGCCATTGCAAATTGGGCCTTGGGGAAAAGCAAACAATAACTAAAAAAAACCCATTACTTTATCCCCCCACCACCAAGCTGAAGAATGTATATTTACAACTCCAAGCTTGGGCAATAAATGTAGAAAAATGCTTGGCTCCAAAGCTACTTGATCATGGGTAGATATGGGCAAAAGATGGAAGAGCTTCTGTTGGAGTCTCTCATGAACAACGTGGCAATCGATTTCGATATGCTTTGTGTGCTCATGGGATGCTGCATTAGAAGCTATGTGTCGAGCAGAACTATTGTCACAATATAGGAGGGTTGGTTGAGTGTAATTGAGGCAAAAGTCATTCATAAGAAAGGTTATCCATTGAACCTCACATGAAGCAGCAGCCAAGGCTCGATATTCGGCTTCAGAGGAGGATCGAGAAATTGTATTTTGCTTCTTAGACTTCCATGAGATCAATGAATTCTATAAGAACATACAGTAGTCAGATATGGATTTTCTTGTGTTAGGGCAGGTGGCCCAGTCAGAGTCACTAAAGCCTTTGATATGCAGAGGAGAATCGGCAGGGTAAAATAATCCCTGACCTGGGTTGCCCTTGAGAGATCTAAGGATTCTTGTGAGTGCCTTGTGATGATTGATGGTTGGCGAGGCCATAAATTGAGTGAGTTGTTGGACAACAAAGGAGATACCAGGACGAGTATTGGTTAAGTACAATAGTCTACCCACGAGCTTTCTATAAAGAAAAGGATCATGAAAAAGGATGTTCTCATTTTGAGACAGTGGAACCCCTTTCACCATAGGAGTTGGAACTGGTTTGGAGGTTAGGAAACCAGTGTCAGATAGCAAGTCAAGTGTGTATTTACTTTGGCAAAGTGTGATCCCTTTACTTGAGTGAGCAACTTCCAAGCCAAGGAAGTATCTAAGTTGGCTAAGATCCTTTATTTTGAAACTGGAATCAAGATTATGTTTGACAAGGTCAATTTCGTGAGTCATTGCCTGCTAAAATTAATTCAACCACGTAAATCAGTAATGTAGTGAAGGAGGAGGCATATGACTTGGTGAATAAGGAGTGATCATGGTGGGATTGATATTAACCCACACTGATCAAGACTTGAGATAGCTTGGCAAACCATTGCTGAATTGCCTGCTTCAAGCCATATAATGACTTGTTCAACTTACAAACTTGATTGGGAATAGAGCAGTGGACCCATGGTGGAAGATTCATGAATACTTCTTCCTCTAAATCTCCATGCAAAAAGGCATTGTTCACGTCCAATTGTTCTATAAACCAGTTCTGTGAAGATGCTACGACTAATAGAGTTCGAACTGTTGTGAGCTTGACAACAGGTGCAAAATTGTCTAGGTAATCCAATCCTTCAGTTTGTGTATAACCTTTTGAAACCAGATGAGCTTTGTGCCTTTCAATGCTTCTATCAGCTTTAAATTTCAGTTTGTAAACCCATTTTGATCTTATGGCCTTCTTAGTAGGGGACAAGACCATCATTGTCTAGGTACCATTGTGTTCAAGGGCCTGCAACTCATCTTTCATAGCCTTGATCCATTCTTGTGACTTGATGGCTTGCTTAAAAGTCTTTGGCTCACTATGTGTGGTGATGGTGAGGATGTAGTGAAGATAGCTTGGTGATAAAACTTTGTAGGATAATGCATTGTTTAGGGGTTGTGTAGTGGTATTCAGGTTGGTATTGGTTTGAGGTGAATTTGGTTGTTGGTTAGGAAGGTGATGTGTGTGTTCAATGAGATTGGTTGGTGGAGCAGAGGTGTTGAGTAGGAGCTGGTTTAGGTTAGGTGGTGTGGGCAAGTGTAAGGCTTTTGGTGGGGTAAAGGGTTGCTCAAATTAGAGGAAGGATAAATTAGTTGGATTATGAAGGACTGGTTGAGGTGGTGCATTAGTATAGGGGAATACGTGTTCATAGGAGTGGACATGTCTACTAGAAAAGATTTGTTTAGTCTCTTAGTCAAACAGCAGAAATCCCTTTGTCCCAGATTTGTACCCAATGAAGATGCACCTTCTACCTATAGGATCTAGCTTGGTTTTGTGTTGTGTGAGTGTAGTGGCATAGCAGAGACTTCCAAACACCTTTAAGTTAGTCAGTGAAGGTGGAACACCATATAGAGCTTCAAAAGGAGATTTGAGGCCCAACACAGGTGTGGGTAGCTTGTTTATCAAGTACATTGCATGCTTAGCATCATATCCCCAAAAAACTTGTGGCAAGTTAGATTGAAAAAGAAGTGATCTGGTCACATTTAAGATGTGCTTATGCTTCCTTTCAACAATAGAATTCTGTTGAGGAGTCTCAACACAAGATGTTTGGGGCACAATTCCAGAACTAGCATAAAATCTTGCATAAGGAACTCCACACCATTATCAGATCTTATTACTTTGATGTGTTTATCAAATTAAACTAGAACCAGTTTCACAAAGTCTTTAATAAGGTTTATGGTTTTAGCTTTATTTGGCATCAAGAATAACCAAGTATGTCTTGTAAAATCATTAACAATGGTCAAGAAGTACTTATGGCCATGGATGGATGAGACATTAATAGGTCCCTATATATCCATGTGCACAATCTCAAAAGGTAAAACAGTAGCAGTTATGCTATTAGGAAAAGAAAGCTTAGATTGTTTTGATAAAAGGCATGTATCACATATTTTATTAGAATCAAACTTTACATATGGAAGCAGTCTGCATATATGTTGTAATATATTGTGAGATGGATGTCCGAGACGATAATGCCAAAGATAAAAATATTCTATTTTACAAACATAATTAACATTGTGTAAAACATGGCTCTCAGATTTGGTAGTCTTGGTGAATATGTAGAGATGATTGAAGACTCTAGCATATCCAATAACCTTCAAGGTAATCATACCTGAATAACACAAGATTTATTGTCAAAGGTAATTGTTCATTTTAGAGAAGTAGTGAGTTTATGTATAGAAACAAGATTATATTTAAATTATGGTATATAAAGCACATCAGTGAGGTGCAAGGAAGCAGACAAGGCTATGGTGCCTGATTTCTTTGCTAGGATTGAAAATCCATTTCCCAATTTTATCGAGATGGGCTTAATGTCTTTATAGGTGATAAAATTTGTAAATTTGTTAGTGACTTGGTCAGTAGCACCAGTGTCAATTATCCAACAATGTTTAGGAAAGAAATTACATGAGTGAGTCACATCTTCTTCACTGCTTCCAACTTGATTGATACAATGTATTAGATCAAAAGTCAGTCATGTTAGCTCATCTATTGCACCCTCATTAGCATTTCTGTGCAAGTCATTATCATCTTTGTCACCTTGATTAAGTACAACATTCACAATTCCACCACTTGTTGGTCTACTTCTGAATTTGAAGTTAGGGGAAATCCATGTTTGTAGTGCCAAGAATACACAGTGTGATTTTCCCTGCCACAGAATGTGCAAAGCTTGCCACTACTTCCATCTTGGCCCCTACCAAGAATGCTTCTGTTTAGGGATCCTTAGTTGGTGCCACTTATATTTCCTTTACCAAGAAACCTTCCATTACTACTTTGACTTCCTCTTCCATATGAGATATTGTTTTTGTTGGAATTGCTTTTCCAGATCTATCTTGAATTTATGGATCCTATCAAGCTCTTTTGGTCTGATTGGATCACTAGATCTTGTTGACTTATTAATGAATAAACCTTGTTTATTGTAGGCAATGGCTCCATTAGCAAGATTTGAGTCTTAATTGTGCTATATTGGTCATCAAGTACTTTCAAAAAGCAGATAACATGCTCTGCTTCCCTATGATCCTTGATGAATTTCAATATGTTGTATGTGCACTTACTATTGCAGATGCACATTGGCAAGGGTCTTAATGATTCTAGCTCCTCCCATACAACTTTTAAATCAGTAAAGAAAGTGGAAATGCTTCTATCACATTGTTTCATGGAGTGAAACTCTTGGAGTAAATCAGAGGTTTTGAAATGGTCATCCATGGAGAACCTTTCTTTAAGGTCTTCCCATAGTTCTTGAGCACCATATATATACATTGTGCTCTGAGCTATATGAGTTGATAAGGATTTGTTGATCCAAGAGACGACCATTGTGTTGCAGCTCTCGCAAGCTTCATAGATTGGGTCTGATGGATTTGGCTCATGAATAACCCCATTCACAAACTTATACTTGTTCTCTGAAAACAAAGCCCTTCTCATCGATCTGCTCCAGGAGTGATAGTTGCTTCCATCAAGAGAATGTGTGACTAAGGCAAAACGCGAGTTTTCTCCAGGATGAAGGTAGAAGGGGTTTGATGTAGGACTTTGCAACCCATCCATTTCTGAGTTGGTTTGAATCAATTTGGCTTCCATCTTGAGTGAGTTCTTGCAAGAAGGCTTGAGTAGTGCAGTTTTGGTGATGAAGAAAGAAATAGCAGTTTTTCGGATTGCAGAGATGATGTAATTGATCAACTATGGTGATCGAAGGTGAAAAGAAAGAAAAAAGGAAAATGGCGCAACAGAGCTCTCAGGTTGAGAGCTCTGATACCATATTTGTAACACCCCAAATTTTAATCTTTAAAATTATAGTAACAGTCCTGGAAGCCTCGCTTGAGCGAGAGTTGTCTCGCCTGGGCGAGAAATGGCAATTTTGGGCTGTTGACACAGTGTAATCGATTACACACTGCTGGTAATCGATTACATCGTATTAAAAGCATCAGATATGTGCATCTGACACAGTGTAATCGATTACACTCTGCTGGTAATCGATTACACTCTGCTGGTAATCGATTACACTCTGCTGGTAATCGATTACACTCTGCTGGAAATCGATTACACTCTGCTGGTAATCGATTACACACTCGTGGTAATCGATTACACACTCGTGGTAATCGATTACACACTCGTGGTAATCGATTACATCGTATTAAAAGCATCAAATATGCGCATTTTTCACGTTGTAATCGATTACACAATGTTGGTAATCGATTACAACCCGACGACACCTCTTTAAAACAGAACCCCAAACACATTTTTGGGTTAGAACTTCGAAGAAAAGAGAGAAAGGAGAGCTTTTCAAGAGCAAGGAGCCTTAGGACTCATCTTGGAGCTTGAGAAGAGGTAAACCTCTTGTTACTAACTCTTCTTCTTCCTCTCTAACTTGTTTTGGGTATGTTGGATTTATTTTCAAAACATGAGAAACCATGGAAACTCATTCTTTAGAGTTATGGTTCGTTTTATGTTGTTTTTATCTTGTAAACTCTTGGTTTAGAGTTGATATTTGATGAATAGAAAGTTTTATGGGTTATTCATGAAAAACCCCAAAATGAGAATATGAGTATAAAGAGAAAGAGATGAAATGTTAGATGTGGATAATGAGTAGTGCTTTAATGTTGTTATATGAGATGAACATGTATGTTTTGATATTTAGAAACTTGTATTGAAGTAGTTTTGGAAATATTGAAATATGAGATGTTATGCATGTTTTAGATGGTTGAATATTAATGATGAATATTTTGTATGATTAAATGATGCAAAATAAGTTGTTTATGTGATATTTGGAATAAATGACTAACATTGTGTTATGTGGTGGGATGAGGAAAGATCCTAAGGTTGGAGGTGGTGTCGGTAGAACTCGAGAAGTTGCCAAGAACCGAACCCAACACTCATCAAGGTAAGGATAAGTCTTTAATGTTGCATTTGAAATAGAAAATGTGTATTTTCTGGTTATGCAAAGATTAAGTTGTAAATTACGCATTTAGTAGGAACATATATGGGTGTGTTTACACTAAAGTAGGCGTAGATTTACGGAAAAGGAAAATGTGAGTATTTTCTGGTTATGAAATGATCGAGTTGTGAATTACGCATTTAGTATGAACATATATGGGTGTGTTTATACTAAAGTAGGCGTAGATTTACGGAAAAGGAAAATGTGGGTATTTTCTGGTTATGAAATGATCGAGTTGTGAATTACGCATTTAGTATGAACATATATGGATGTGTTTATACTAAAGTAGGCGTAGATTTACGGAAGATGGAAAAGGTGTGTGTTTCCTGGCCATGCAATAATTATATTGTAAATCACGTATTAGTATAAACAGATATGGAGTGTTTATACTAAAGATGACGTGGATTTACGGGAAATGATTGATGGCAAATCGATGGAAGGAAAAATATATTTTTAGCCGACCAGAAATGGTTAGCGACTTCGGCCCGAGTTTACGAGGCAACACTTCGGCCCGAGTTTATGAGGCAACACTTCGGCCCGAGTTTATGAGGCAACACTTCGGCCGAGTTTATGAGGCAACACTTCGGCCCGAGTTTATGAGGCAACACTTCGGCCCGAGTTTATGAGGCAACACTTCGGTCCGAGTTTATGAGGCAACACTTCGGCTCGAGTTTATGTAGCAACACTTCGGCCCGAGTTTACGCGGCATGTTTTCTTTATAAAAGAGATGAGAATTTGTTTTTAGCTAACCCTAAGGGGTGTAGCGACTTCGGCTCGAGTTTATGTAGCAACACTTCGGCCCGAGTTTACGCGGCATGTTTTCTTTATAAAAGAGATGAGAATTTGTTTTTAGCTAACCCTAAGGGGTGTAGCGACTTCGGCTCGAGTTTATGTAGCAACACTTCGGCCCGAGTTTATGAGGCGTGTTTTATTGGTAAAAAGGATGAGAATCTGCTTTTAGCTAACCCTGAGGGGTGTAGTGACTTTGGCTCAAGTTATGCAGCAAGACAAAATGAATTTCGAAATTGGTTTACTAACCCTTTTTCTAATGTGGATTATCTTATAATGACGTTTATTGAATTAACGACTTACTCCTTTGTGTGTTTTGTACTTTTGTCATTGATAATCCCATTGCAGGTAAATAGACGAATGGAGTATGCTAGTTCGGGAGCTTTAGGAGCTTTAGACGTTGGATTCACTATTTGCGTTTTTGTACTTTAAATGACTACTTGTGGATTTGAATGATTGTAACCATGACTGACATTTATTTGGGTATTCGTAACCAGGGGTATTGTTATATTTAGAGTATTATAACTTTTGGGCTCTTAGTACCCAATGAGAATAATAATGAATGAATTATGTTTTTCCGCAATTTAAATTATATGATAATATAATATGCGTAAAGAATATTTTTAAGGAATGATTCCTGAAGGTTTTAAGTAAGATGATGAATGTATGTAAGAAATGATTAAAATAAACGAAAAAATTTCAAGGGTAGAAATCGGGTCTTTACAACATGGTATCAGAGCATAGTTAGTCCTGCGGCCTAGGGTATGGCCTTACTTGCTTCTTTGTATCTTGTAATTGATGGGACTATGTGGTTTAAGTGAACTGTTGTGTGGTTATGTGCTGATTTGTCTGGTTTGATAGTTAACTTACTGACTAGTACATGAGTACAGGTACGCATGACTGAAAGAGGAAGAGAAACGAGCCAGGATACTTCCGATGATCTCTTAGCATAGATGTTAGAGGTGCTTCAGGGCATGAATGAAAACTTACGAAATTTGAATCGGAGCGTAGTTCCAGCTCCAGGCTCTCTGTCCCAAAGCGGATTCGCTCCGAATGCTGCTGTTCAGTGGGCCCTAGGGATGGGGTGTACTAACATGAAGGCGGATGGAGTGGCGACCTCCAAATCCAATTTCCCCAAGAGCGTCGGGCCTCATAGGAACTTTGTGCACGGAAAGGGCAAGGGCAAGATGTTTTCCGAAGAGCAAGAGCTTTGTCTCTCACCTGCTGGCACTCGGAGGTACACATCGCATGGGCCGAGGACCCATGCAAATGCCGGGGGATCACGGCTAAACTCCCCATCCTGGTGCAACAAGTGTAATCGAAAACATGATGGATGATCGTGTTTTGGAACGACAAATCGCTGTTCTCGTTGCAAGGAGACCGGACATGTCAAGAGGTATTGTCCTATGTCACGGCAGAGTATGAATGCCATGGAGACTGGACGACCTCAATCTATCGGCAGAATGGTTACCATGTATATGGTGCAGGGACATCAGGTGTCGATGATCCGGCGAGAGGTAAATTGCATGGTGACAGGTATTCCTTGTTTACTGTTGTTGAATTCGGGAGCGACACACTCCCTGATATATGTGTAAAATGTGAAAAACTGGCTGAGATTGCAAACTGAGTCAGTACTTCCCAATTGGTCGTGACCACCCAATCTATGTGCTGGTGGTGGTGTCGACGCTTATGTTCTAGTGTCCGATTGTGGTAAATGGTGTGATATTTACCGTAGATTCAGTCTGCTTGTCGTTATCCCAGTTAGATATAATTTTGGGGATGGACTAATTGTCAGCAAATCATTTTGTGATTGAATAGTGCTGACAAGGTTGTGGCGGTTAGGGATCTGTGCGAGATCTCTGACCAGGCTAGTGGTTTGGTGCCAGTGTCGGCTAAGAGAGTCAGGACCCTCATTCGAAAAAGGGATCGGTATTCACTCAGTAAATGTCACAAGAGGGTATTTAAGAACTCGTTAGTATTTCGAGATGTTAAGACTTGAAAGAACTATTTATTTTGTCTTAGAAAGTGGACTTTCGTCTATGAATGATTGATTTTTATAATAAGTATAGTGACAAGAAAAATGTTTAAGTCAGGGATACTTGTTTTCTCTTATGAGTTGTTAAAGGTTAATTCATTTTGTTGGCCTTAGTGGGTATGCGCACGCTAAGAGGTGAAACTCATATTTCGAAAATGAAATAGATGTTGGATAAATTACCTAAAGGTCCTTGCGACTAATGTGTTTACATGGATGTTGACTAATCAGATGTATTATCATTTTGAGGTGACCTATGGTTGGTACCCCAAAATCGATTAAGTATGAAAAAGTTATTTTTGATTCTTGTGTATGAAGCTTCTGGTCTATGAAATTTATTTTTTTGTTAAAGATGAGTACCCGCACAAATGTATATTGGTATTAAACACCAAGCTATGTGCGGGGATGTTGAACCTCAAAAAAAAAAAAAAAAAAAAAAACTTATTTTGGATCGGGAGTGTCTCAGTGTATGGTTGGGGTAAATGGTAGAACCTTTACTATAGTGTTGATATGCGCGATGATGTCCCAGTTGGATTTAATCCTGGAAATGGACTAGCGATCAGCAAATTGTGTTATGTTTAACTGTGTGTACTTGTTGAGGTGAAGAATTAAGTTCTAGTTGCATTGATATGTATATGGGTGCAAAATGGTAAGACTTATAATGATAGTCGAGAAAAGAGGCTAGTTAAGTTACTTACCCCGCCAATGTGATGAATGCAATGGAATAGACGTGAAACTTTTGGTCTCGAATGACCGGTTCTTTTGCGGTAGGACATTGGCAACGCATGAAATAGTGGTGGTGATCCGAAATTGTCTGCGTTGAATGTGTACCGGCAAAAGTTGTTGTTGTTTCGTGAACGTCAGTAATTGCGGTGTATGGGTGTGGTGTAACCATAGGAGAGAAGAAGTTTTGGGTTGTATCGAAATGAGCGTGCGAACCTTGTTTCACGACGTGGTCGCCATGAGTCGTGTATTCAAACCGCTTTCGAAAATCATTTTTGGGAAAACTTAG